TGGGTGAAGGGAGATGTCGGACAGGGCAAGATATGACAAAATAATAATTTACTCATGAGTGAGGGGGAAGCGGAGAGGGAGGGAAAAAATGAGGACCTAATACCGGGGCTTAAGTGGAGAGAAAATGTTTTGAGAATGATGAGGGTAATGAATGTACAAATGTGCTTTACACAATTGATGTACGTCTGGATTGTGATGAGTTATATGAGCCCCTAATAAAATGATTTAAAAAAGAAAAGACCCCCAAAACAAATAAATAGGATCAACATCCAATTTAACACTGATAAAAATATTTTTTTCCTGCCTAGTATTAATTAAAAAAAAAACATCTTATGCAAAAAAAAAATCTTAAGTTTTCTCAATGATCAAATGTCACAAAATTCTTAAAACAATATTTTAGCTTTTTATAAGGAAACCTACAGCCTGACACCTGACTCACTTGAAACTTGCCAGATTCTACAACCTCTGACCCATTCCTTTGTGATCAATCCCACAATCGTGTACATGTAAGGGGGTTTTTAACAGTTTAATTAAAAACTCCATGATCTATTATAATACTAGGTGGGGAAAAGAAAAAAAGTTTTATTGGTGTTAAATAAAATATTAATCCTATTTACTTTTTTTTGGCCTTCCATTTTTGAAATCCCTTTATGTAAGCTTTGCTGGGTTTGCTTCTCTGGACATCTCGGCCTAAGGCACCTTGTTTGCAAAAATGGAGAAGCCACACCACAAGTGGACATCCCCTCACAGAGGGATCACAGGGAAGAGATGAGCCAGTCAAGGTGCAGTATAGAACCAATGAAACACACAACTTTCCTCTAGCTCTTTGGTGCTTCCTTCACCCCACCTTCATGACAATTCTACCTTACAAATCAGATTGGACCAGAGCATGCACACTGCTACGGATAAGAACCCGAAACACAGGGAATCCAGGGTAGATAAACCCTCAGGGCCAACAAGGAGAGCAGAACTACCAGGAGAATTAGGGAAGGATGGGGCAAGAAAGAGGGAATCAATCACAAGGATTAACCCAGATCCCACTCCCAGGGGTACGAATAACAGAAATGTGGGTGAGGGGCGATGGAAGACAATTAAGATACGGAAATAATAATATATAACTTATCAAGGGCTCATGAGGGAGGGCAGGCAGGGGAGCAAGGGGAAGAAATGGGGGGGCTGATATTAGGGGCTCTAGTGGGAAGCGAATGCTGTGAAAATGATGATGGCAACATATGTGCAAATGTGCTTGACACACTGAACGAAGGTATGGATTGTGATGAGATATAAGAGCCCCCAATAAAAGTATTTTTTTAATTATTTTAAAGAAAAAAATATGGACTTGTACAAGACCCTAAAAAAGTAATGTTGAAACATGAACATGAACAAAGTAGGATTGATACTTTCAATTAAAAAAAATACTATAAAAAAACAAAAAAACAAACAAAAAAATACTATAAAGCTTCAGTAATCAAACCAGCTTTTTACTGATGCAACAACAGACATGTGGACCAAGGAGATAAAATTGAGAATCTAGACATAATTCATAGATCTATGGTCAACTCATTTTTCACAAAGATGCTAAGCATCGTCAATGGGGAAAAGGAATAGTCTCTTCAACAAACAATGCTAGAGCAACTAGATTTGCACCACCAAAATAATGGAGCATAATCCATACTTCACACCATATATAAAAACTAACTCAAAGTGTACCAACAATTTAAACTAAAACCATAAAACTGTTAGAACAAAACAGAAGTAAAACTTTGAAACCTAGTTTTCAGCAATTCTTATAAATGACACCAAATGTATGAATAAGAGACAACATGGATACATTGAACTTGATCAAAATTTTGAACTTTTGTGCATCAAAAGCCTTTAACAACAGAATAAAGAGACAACCTACAGACAAAGAGAAAAAAATTTTAGGAATCCTATGTCTGAAAAGGGTTTCCATCCAGAAAATATAAAGAACTCCTACAACTCAACAACAAAATGACAAATCCAAGTCAAATAAATAGGATTTTTTTCTATTACTGGACTTGGGCAAACTATAGTTGATTCCTACTAGTTATATCCCAAGAAGCCACTGGTAACACTGAATTTTAGTGAATACTCAACCGCTGCTCTTTTGAAAATACAGGGCTAGGTTTCCAGAACTCTCTAGTCACAATATTTTCATCAACCAATCAATACATAATATTGTATTGTTTAATTATATTTAATTGTATTGTTTCTGTTTAATCCTTCCATGATCCCTGGTATTTGAAGCCTACCTACATTTTTCTTCTCTGAGGTTTACAAGGAAGCTATTTTCCTCGGAACATGTATCCAACTGTCAGGAGGAGACACATATAAAAGGTGTTTGAATCAGAAGGAATAGGCATGTGCTAAAAATTATTTTTGTAACAGAATACTGTATGATGGTATGCTTTTTTTTTACATGCATGGTTAGTGTTTTATTTTTTGAAGAATGGTTCTAAAACATCACACTAAATCAGGTTGAAAGGTAAAGTTTAAAATAGACCGTTTTATAAGGATAAGTTGTAACATATGTAATGATGGCTCATTCTACAAAATCTTGATCTCAGAGCATATGATACACCTCGTTGGCAGGAGCACCAGGTATTCCAAACTAGCCAGTCATTTTTCTCTTGTCTGCATAGACTTCTCGTTAGCTGCCTTCTGCTTTTGTTGCATGATCTCAGAATCCCTCTGCTTCCTCTGAGAGGTAGTCAAGCTATCTTTTTCCCTTGCTAATCTCCTGGGTTTTCTTCATGTTTTTCTGGCGGGCAAGCTCTCTTTCACAGGGACAGAGCCTGGGAGAGAGCGACCCGGAGAAGAAAAGGTTCCCTCGCACCACCCGCCGACCAGGAAGGCAGCGCGCCACCCTCCACAGGGCGACGCCTCTGCAGATGGTATGCTTTTGCAAAACATTTTTCTCTTTTGACTTTTTTACTTAGAGATAAGCCTTGTAAATGCAATTCTGGTTCCTGTGCATTATTTAAGGAACCAAGATGGCGTGCTCGCTTCGGCAGCACATATACTAAAACTGGAGCGATAGAGATTAGCATGGCCCCTGCACAAGGATGACACGCAAATTCGTGAAGCGGTCCATATTTAAAAGAAAAAAAAAAGATGGCATTGTGGGTTGGAGATGGGGTTACTAAACCACCAGGTCAGTGGTTCAAACCCACCAGCCACTCTGTGAAGAAAGATAAAAGACTGTTTCCATACAGGTTCAGAAATCCTTTATAAGGTCATTAAGGAGTTGGAATGACTTGATGGCACTGGGGTGGGAGTACACTATGCTGCCTTTCTCGATTTCATGTTCACAACACATTAAAAAAAATTTTTTTTACAAATACATTTTTAGATACCATGAATTATAAATACCTATCAAGGGATCTAGGAATCCCTGATGGCTTAGTGATTACATGTTGGGCTGCTAACCACAGGGTAACAGTTCAAAAAACCACCACCTGCTCCATGAGAGAAAGACAGAGTTTTCTACTCCAGTAAAGAGCTATCTATAGGCTCATGTGCTTGACACAATGGATGTATGGATTGTTATAAGAGCTGTAAGAACTCCCAACAAAATGATTAAGATTTTTTTTTAAAGTTACAATTTCAAAACTCACAGGAGCAGTTTTACTCTGTCCTATAGAGTCACAATGAGTTGGCATCGATTCGATGGCAGTGAGTTTGGCTTTTTGGTTTTATCAAGGGATGCAGAAGGTGTTGCAGAGTCCAGAGGGACATAATCTGTTCCATTAATTCTACTCCTTCTTTGAATTCAGAGGGACACATATGCCCCACTTAATTTCACCGTAACAAGTTTTTAATTCCACTCCAGCGTCCAGAGGAACATTACGTATCATGTAATCCTACCCCAGAATCCAGAGGATATATGTGTCCCATAAGATATGTATAAAAATCTGAATTTCTCAAGTTGGCCTGAGCAGACCTCGGCTCCAGACTCTTGCAAAGTTCCAGGCATTTCTCCCCTAACCCCTCAGAGTTTATATTTTCTATTTCTCTGTGTATTTATATAAAAATATATTAAATATTTTTAAAAATCTGAATTTCATTAAAAATTTCAGAAATTTTCCTTGATTTAGTACTCAATGAAAACACACAGTGTTGGGAGGGAGGGGAAAAATGAGGACCTAATGTCGGGGGTTTAAATGGAGAGAAAATGTTTTGAGAAACGATGTACAAATGCGCTTTACACAATTGATGTGTGTATGGATTGGGATAACAGTTGTATGAGCCCCTAATAAAATGTTTAAAAAAAAGAAAAAAAAGAAAACACACAGTGTCAACAGAAAATAAAGTGGAAACTGGGTCTGAAAGGGTTAAATCCACCTTATTTAATATACATTGTTGATTCATTAACATTGAACCTGCCAACAGCATTTTTTTTAAGCATTTTTAATCATATCGGAAACTAGCTTATCTCTGTTAAGTCACACTTTGGAATTTGAGATAGTACTTAAGCAACACTCTTATCACAATTTAAAACAGAAAAACCACCAATGAAAAGCACAAGAATTAGAAAAATGTGACATTAACTAGACTGGACATTTGTTTACAGTATGTGAGCCAAGACAAGAAAGCAGAATGTTACCTTGCTTACTCAACTTCAGCTAGGAACATGTTACAAGGGATTCAATATTTTCACTGTTTCAAAATCGAACACTAAAGTGCTACAGAATGCTGGTTTTGGAATTACATATACATTTTGGCAGATAGAAAAAAAACAAAGGCAAAAGTCTTGAATAGACATTTCACCAAAAAAGACATACAAATACCCCAATCAAAACATGAAAAGATATTCAAGGGCATTAGAGAAATATACATATCAAAACCACTTTACCACCTCCCCGCCCTTACACTTGAAAGACTAAAACCAGAAAAAGACAATGATAAGGGTTTGGTTTTTTTTGCTTTCTAAACCTGAAAATAAAATTTATTGATATTTGATTCTACAAGTCACATGTAAATGACCTTCAACAGAATGCCATAACTTAGTGATGCCAGGTGCAAACTATACCAGGTAACTGTTGGAAGAGGTAACAACAAAGAATATACAAAATATTTTTGGAAAAAAAATTTTTTTTTTGCAGCATTTTATCGTAAACTTGTTTTGGTTTTTGTTTAATTACAATATCCCTGTAGGTAGTTAAAACAACAACAAAAAACATTTCTTGTAAGTCCAGCTTGCACGTATCATCAATACACGGAAAAACATAAGGCTAATTTATTTTTGGAACCCAACAACAAAGCAATCTAGTAAAAGCCACCATCGTTACCCAACTATTATAATAATATTTTAAATTATGTAGTTTGAATTGTATATGCTAAAGTGCTTCATGTGTTACAGGTATGTACTGTTGTTTTCATTTCGATAGTCACTGATTTTGTCCAATTTCCTGGTTGTAGCTACAATATTGTGACATTATTTATGACCTGATATCATTAACTTTTTGAAAATGAAGTAGAAATTAAAGGGAAAAAATTTAAGATTTTTTGCTGAGTTACTAATGTTTTGTTATAACCTTTATTAGTTACAAGTAACAATAATGTAATTCAATATAGGAAGATTTTACAGAACAATTGTGTTGGTTATATTCATGTACACTAAGAAATATTAAAATTAAGCAATTTATATAACTATATATTTATAAATAACATATACAACTATGTAACATACTCTGATTAAAATTAAGAATAAACATTACTAAGGATTCTGTATGGTCCGGTACGGAAGGCACCATGAGTTAATAACCACACTGGGTAACACCAAGTCTAGTGATATCAGTGGTACACTACTTTTTGGCTCTATCATCAACCAATTAGAACAGACCTGGGTAACTGCACACTTTCTCCATACTATTTTTACTCATATCATCTGTCTTGTTGAAAGAGTACTGTGAGGCACTGTGCTATGTACTAAAAAACCCACTGTCATCAGTCAACTAACGTACTCATAGAGACCTTACAACACAGAATAGATCAACCCCAGAGTCTCCAAAGGTAAAATATTTATTAAAGTCTATGATTCACTCAGCAGAAGAAAGATGAGATTGTCTGCTCCCATAAAGATTTAGTCTCAGAAACCCTATGAAGGAGCTCTACTCTGTCCTACAAGGTCAATATGAATCAGAGGGCAGTGAGTTTTAGTTTTAATTTTTATGGAAGCAGAGTTTGAATTGGTGACCTTGGACAACTGAAGACTTAACCACAATTAGGGGCACCACCAAGGCCTCTTTGTTATGAACTAGATAACATAACAAATTGAGTAATAACTGGGCCAATAGATAACCTCATGATACACAAAGACTGAAGTTGGCAAGGTTTTAATTTTTTAGGATCCACAATCAATGTTCATGGAAGCAGCAATCCATGTTGTATTGCATGAGGCAAATCTGATGCACAAAACCTCTTTAAAATGTTGAAGAGAAAAAATACATAAATTGTTGAAGAACCCAGATGTCATTTTAAGGACTAAGGTACACCTGACCTAAGCCATGGCATTTTCAATTATTTCATATGCACGTGAAAGCTAGCCAATGAAAAAAAAAAAAGACCAAAGAAGAAAGAATGACTTTGAATTATAGTGTTGGAAAGAACACCGAAAAATACCAAGGACTGCAGGAAGAACAAATTTGTTCTGGAAAAAGCAAACAGAATGTTTCTTAGAAGAGACATGGCAAGGTTTTATCTCACATCCTTTTTAGACATCTTATCAGATGAAACCAATCCCTGGGCAAGGACATCATGCTTGGGTCACAGAAAAAGAGGAACACCATCAAAGAGATGTACTGACCCAGCTGCAACAACGGGATCAAAGGTAACAACAACGTGAGGGTGATGCACGACCATGCATTGTTCCATTCTGTTGTACTTGGAATCACTAGGAGTTGGAAGCACCAGCAGAAAAGTTCAAGGGAAAACAGAGAACTACGTTAAAAAGTGATACACACCTTTGCCTGAGGGTATCAAGAGGAAAATTAGACACACCAGGTGAAAAGGAGAAAGAAAAGCATTCCTGGGATAGGTATAACCTGTATAATGAGAATGAACAAAAGCACATGGAGTAATTAAGGAACAGTCAAAAATTCAGTGTGTGTAAACAAAAATAATACAGGCAGAAACTGGTAATGTCAAAGTATAAGCTACTTCCTTGTCCCACTTTCTTAAAAACAGCATTTATTCAACTTTTATCAAGGAAAGTTTCTAAAGAAAATGCAGAAATACATGCCCTCCTCTCTCACTGATAAGAGACATGGTTCAATACATGTTTAAAACAGAATATTTTATGATGGTTTTTGTTCTATCAAAAGAGTAGGCAGATCTTCCAATAATGCTTCTCCCTTCAACAACCATACTAAAAGCCATATCGACACAGATGGAATTAACTCTGTAACACTTGCCTATTTCTAGGTAGTTTTCCAAACCAAAAATCCCAAATCAATGTTTCACCATACTTTTAAAGGTTTGATGCCTTCAATTTTACCCAAAAAAGTGAAGGGAACCAATTATTTTGTATAGACCACCAAAATAAAGTAATCTAAGAATTAATATCCTTTCCTTTGCTTCAGTTTCAAACTGAACAATTTTCTAATAACGAAGTTTAGTAAATACCTACATTGAATTGGGCTGTAGAAACACTAATTAGATTTGATTTTGAGCTATACAACTGTATAATCAGTTATAAAAGTTTGCTCATATTCAAATATTGTACATCAGCTATAACAATCTTAACTTTAACCATAAGATTTGTGAGAAAGGTAGTATTTTAAGTTATTCCATTCCTAAAAGCTAAGCTCATATATTTCTCTCATTTGGTAGTCTCAATAATTCAAAACATTAACCCAAAGACATACAATAAGAAACATTTGGGAAGCTCAGTACCATACAAATATAACCAGATAAAATAAGCAAGCTAAATAAAGTTAGCAAAGCCAACTGTATACCAGGTTACACTATGACTATTGTACTTTAACAACAGAGAAAGAGGTATCAAAACTACTTGTCATCATTGTGGTAAAGAAAGCAGATGGTGTAGGGCTATCAATTGAAAGTGTCTGGAGTCTTAAAGGCTTGAATTCAAAAAAGCAGCCATCTAAGCAAGGAGGTAACTAAATCCACTCAGAAGCATACCAGCTTTTGTGATCCAAAGATGACAATTACAAAATTCGAATATTGTGAAGAGAAAATTATCAGAGCTAAAATTAAGAACACCCAAATTTGGAAAAGGTTATGGAAGACAGTGGGATCCCAAAACCGATCTGCAGTGGGAGCCCCAAACTCATGGGCAGACCGAGCTGGGGCAGATCCACTCTAGCCAAAGGAAGAGTCCTGAACAGCCTTACTACCAGGCAGAGACCACTGCAATCAAGTTTATGCGGGATTGAACCGGTACCAGGCCAGCTGTCTTCCCTACAGACAAAACATGAATTAGTACTGGGTGCGACTATCTCTTAGATATCCCATGACAGAAATTTCTTCCCTGGCTTTTTGCATGTTGATGGGTGTCTTCTCCTTCTTATGCATCATTTGTATTTTTGCCTTTATACTAATATTATCTGATGCTTACCACTTTTGTGCAATTTGTCCTGCAGTTTTCTGTTGGGTTGCCAGCTGTGAAGCACAGGAGGAATGGATGTATGATGACAACAATTACAAGATGTTGTGTCCCTACAACAGGGCTGAGGGATGGGCGACTGGGAGTAAACAGCAAGGGGGGGAGGGGGGAAGGAGCACTAGAACTGATACTGATTGCACAGTTGTTTGAACTATTCAATTGTATGATACGTGAATTATGTGCCAATAAAACTGTTGGGGGGAAAAAACTACTTGCCTTCAAAATGTCTAATTATTCGTAAAGTACAGAGGTCACATATATTTCCCCATCTTTAAAAAAAACTAAGTTTATTGGATTTTCCATTGACAACAATTATAACTTATTAACTTCCACCAATGATCCGAGTAACTTTAAAAAAGCAAAATGTACAAGGAAAAGAGTATTTCTCAGTTCAACACACTATTCTAAACCCTATTCTTTCATACCCAAGTTTTAGTTACTATGATTCAACAAATTTGGCAAGTGTGGACATTTTTCACTTTTGGACCTTTCAAACTTTGACAGATTGTTCTAGCAACCAGAACTTAAGCCAAAGTGTTTTGCTACTCCTTCCAAAAAAGAACAAATTTAGTGCCATTGAGTGGATTCTGACACATAATGACCAGATCTTCCGGGGCGTCACATAGATAAAATTTCCTACCAAAAACAAACAAAAAAACACCTGGAAAAATTCTAATATAGAACATTTTGACAACCACATAATTTTCAAAACCTAAAGTCAAAAAGTGTGGTTACATAAACCTATATGCTCTCATTTTAAAATTGCTAGTTACTTTAAATTTATTCTACCCTACATAAAAATGAAAGTCGATGTCAAGAATTTAACCAATCAAAAAAAAAAAAAGAATTTAAACAATTCATAAAGCAAAGATGCAATTAAAACACCTAAAGCAACCAATTTTAAGTTAAAAACTGTTGCAGTTTGAAGACAGGTAAGAGTTTTCGATTTTTCTGAAGCTAACTCTGAGACCATTAAGTTCTGCTATACAATGCAAATAAGGGGATTAGCATTATGAAAATCTGTTTTTGTATGCAGCTTCTCAATTCAATATCTTTAAAAATAATCTTAATGGTTTGGGAAAATGATTCAACTTGTTTAATTTTGTATGAATTCAAAGTTTTTATAAAAGTCACTTTAAAAAGTATTTTTTATATATACTGGATTAAGACTTTTTTAATATTGGAAGATTACTACCAGGGAGGGCACTACTGGAAATTTTTGTAGTTTATAATGCCACTCTAAAATTTACAATCAAATAAAGCCCCACCATCAATGAAAGCTATCAAAGACAGAAACTGCTGCCTAAAGAAAATGAATTGACTTTTCCTAAATTCCAGTGTCAATTTCAAGTGTAATTCCAACAGCCATGGGCAAAGACATTCAAGTATATGCTGATCAATTGGAGGTGCCCTAAACAGCATATCATTTGCCAGGCAAACTCTAAAATTGAATACAAACCCAAAGATTGAATGGCATTTAAATATCAGTACATTAAACCATTCAGTTAGTGTTTGACCATTAACTGCAACGTGCAGTTCTCCAAGAAAGATGAGGCAATCCGCTCCTGCTTCAGGGACCCTCTGCAGGGCAGCCCTGGTGTGCTTATGCACTGGGCTGCTAACCTCAGAACGAGCAGTTAGAAACCCAAAGGGGTAGTTCCACAATGTCCTATAAGGTCTCTATGACTCGGAATCACCTCCATGGCAATGAGTTTGGTTGTTTTGTGGTTGTTGTTTTTGGATGACTCACACACTAGATGGCAGTGGCAATGGGTACATTAAAGTATTAAATGAATGATTAAAGAACACCTAATAGCTCCAGCAATATTTTGTTTAAACATAGAAATGGAACATTTTAGTATAATCAAGAAGAGGATACTTGCCAAAGAGTGAGTATTCCATAGGTGTTTGGTGTTTAAACAGAAACCATAAGTTGCCAAACTTTTTGGTTTACTGCCCCTTATGGAGGGCGGGAATCTCAGTGCATCCCTGCCAATTACAACGTGTGTACTATAGCCCATAATTCAGGGTAAAGTGTAGGTATCTATCTGCTTTTGCTGCCGCCCCAGATTGATCCAGTGCCTCGGGGGAGGGGGTGGGGTGGGGTGGTATTGCCCATTCTGGGAAACACCTGCTTTAAATAACAGTAGAAAAATACCAAACCTTTCTGGAATTTACAAACTCACTTACCTAACAGTAACTAATAATATTTTTTAAATTTTTCCTTAAAACAAATGTGAAGGAGTCCTTTGAATATTAACAATGAAAACATTCAAAATTCTAGCAAGGCAACCTATGAACAGTAATTTATATATTGTCTCAATTCAATAACTTAGTAAAATGTACTGACATATTATCAAGCATATTATTATATATTAGAAGTATTAAACAATTTGACTCCATCTACATTGCAAATTCAAATTTCAGTAGCCACTAGACTACAGTCTTAAATAAGTTATTTCTCTTTTGCAGATACCCAGGCTGAGATGTGAAATAAGGATAGCTGAATCATACTTGCCTAACTTGAAATGTAGGAAACAATGAATGAATTGATTTGAAATACTTTTATTCAAGCATGCTACATTGCAAACATACTTTGCAAGTAGAATAAAAGTGGTGAGATTACAAGTACTGGAGGGCCCACATTTTTCCGGCATACAAAAAAAAGTTGAAGTCAATGCTTAAAACCCAACTACCCTGAGAAAACCCATTACAAAAAGTCAACTCAGTCTTTTTTTTAAAAATTTCACAATAAAGAGGAAAAAGAGAAATCACTGAACCACTCCAAAATCAGTCAGGAAGATCATTACTGCACAAAAACCTGAATGTTAAAATCACTAAGAAATCTTCATCCCTCCCTTCTGTTATTAATCTCTGTAACAATCAAGTTACTCTTTTCTAGCTCTCTCAGATTAATATTCTTCAAAGGCTTTCCATGCCCGGGGCTATCTAACACCAACAAAAACATACCGAAAAAGCACCAAGAAAAGCTCAATGTTCCGCAAAGGAGGGTAATCCACAAGGATGTAATTATTTGACACTTCCTCCTACACACACACAAACCCACTTAATTTGCTTTCCACACGTTTACTAATCAATGAAGTACATATACTTTGACGGATCTTTGACACCAAGTCCTAACAGAGAACCACCAACCGTCCCAACTCTTTCAGGCAGTCGGAAAGATGGAGAGAATTCATAGAATATGACGCCCACGGGACCAAGAGTTTGTGAAGGGCAACTGGGGTACTCGCAGGTCAAGTTCAAAGAAAACAACAGCCAAAAGATCACAAAACGGACTTGAGAAAGAAGTCAGTGGGTCGGAAGGTTAAAGGAAGGCGAGGTCCATGTCCGGTTCGGCGGGGATGGAGTTGTCGGGACCCACAGCAATTAACCCAACATCGGAACATGCGGAGGGGAGTCAGTGAGAGACTCGACCCGGTTACCGGAGAGAAGAACGCTGGTACGTGGCTCGCGGAAGCCGCGGGGGTGGGGCCCGCCCCGCTGCACCCCGGCTCCCTGAATGAGCCCTCCAAGAAGGATCGCACACCCAAAAAGTCAATGGGTTCAAGGAGGCCCGCCGCGGCCCCGCCACACCACGGCACGGACGGCAGCCACGCGCCGCGCCGCCGGCTCCGAGGCCTCGGGGGCCGCCGTCCAGAAGTCGGAGCAGCCCCGGGGGCTCCAGGCCCCTCCTGGCCCAGCCTCCGTTCTCACCTCTCGCCCCCCCCCCCCACCAGCCTAGAACGGGACCCCTGAGGTTGACAGGAAGCTTCCGGTCAAGTGCTCGCGGACACCACAGGCCAGAAGAAGCAATGTGCTCTCGGAGCCGAGAGTGACACTCACCGGCCCGAGACCTCGAAGGAAACCGGCAGCTCCGGGGGCGGCGGCGGCAGTGGCGGCAGGAACCGAACATCCAAAATGGCGGCTCCCTCGGCCTCACCACCGCTACGGCAGGCGGAGGGATCCTCGGCAGGGAGGGAGGGTTTCACGAGCTTCGCACACTGCCGCAGAGACTTGGGGTGCGCGTTCGCCTCTCCTGATGGACTCCGAACCCGTGAGTGCGCCTTCTCGCGCCTCTCCTGCCGGATGACCCAGGAAGTCGGGCGCTGCCGAGGACTATTTGCCACGGAGGAGGCACCTGCAGCTGGCAGAGCGACGCTCCGCGTACCGAGGTCCGGGGCTGTCACTGATGACGCGAGACGCTGCTGCCGAGTCACCGCTGCGAAGAGTGCAAGCCAGAGGGATCCGGCCAGCCCCGGAGCTGGAGGACATTGGTTCCGCGTGCGGGGGCAGGGCGACGGGGGAGCAGCGGGGCCACCTGATCTGGGCGGAGCTGGGCAAAGTCACCGGGAAAGGGAGAGGGGCGAGGCAGGTGGAGGGGGGAGTGCGCCGAGTTAACCCTATAACGCCGAGCGCGACGTTTTATATATTTATATATTTATTTATAGTTGTACTATATATTGATCGCTAAGAAAGTAAAGAATAAAAACAAAAAAATTTTTTTCCTGAAATTAAAAATTCAGGCGTTATTTAAATCTCAAACACGCCGAAGTCACAGATTTTCTTATCATTTTTTTGCGTGAAGAGTGAGCCGATGATAGAGTCCACGCACGCGAACGCCAGCACTGGACACGTGTTTAAAACTCTACGGGTCTTCGTTTCCTCTTACGTGAAAAGTAGGATTGAATTTAGAGAAGGGGCTTTCTGTATTTGTCTTCATCCACCAATGACTTGAGCCACACACCGTCGAACCAGGTAGTACCTGGCTTGATAAATAATTACTGACCAAGAATATTTTCCATGGGAATATAAAGAGAGCCTTGATATCTGGGCCCACTTAAAGGGAAAGTGAGCTACCTAGACTAAAACATTGTAGTTAGATTGGCGATAAAGTACCTCGAAAAGTGAATAAAACAAAAATATCAAGCTAGGTACCTAAGTGAATAAAACTAATCACAAAAACTGTCTTTAGGTAGGGAGTCTATTGGCAAGAGTTTTTCCTTAAGTAGTCATGTTTAAGCAGGGAATTCAAAACACTTTACCAAAAAATGAACTGAGGCTGTAAAATATTATACTAGAATTACTGGACTATAACAAGTGGTTAAAAAAATAAGGACGTTGTTATTATTGTTAGGTGCCATCCGTTCCAACCCATAACAACCCTATGTGCAACAGAAAGAAGGATGAGCTGGTCCCTATGCTATTCTCATGTTTGAGCCCATTGTTGCAGCCACTGTGTCAATCATCTGATTGACGGCCTTCCTCCTTTTTGCTGCCCCTCCACTTTGCCATGCATGATGTCTTTCTCCAGGGACTAGGCTCTCCTGATCCCATATGCAAAGTCTTGCCATCCTTGCCTCTAAGGAGCATTCTGGCTGTACTTCTTCCAACACAAATTTGTTTGTTTGGGCAGTCCATGGTGATTTCAATATTGTTCTCCCACAGCATAATTCAAAAGCTTCCATTTTTCTTTGGTCTTTAAAAAAAAATTATTTATCTATTAAATCATGTGATTGGGGGCTCTTCCAGCTCTTATCACAATCCTTACATACATCCATTGTGTCAACCACATTTGTACATATGTGGTCATCATTTTCAAAACATTTTCTTTCTACTTGAGCCCTTGATATCAGCTCCTCATTTCCTCCCACCCCACCCTCCCTCCCTCACGAACCCTTGATAATTTATCTTTTTTTTTTCACGTCTTACACCAACCACAGTCTCCCTTCACCCACTTTTCTGTTACTCATCCCCCTGGGAAGGGGTTATACATAGATCATTGTGATTGGTACCGCCACCTTCCCCTTACCCTCCTGGTATCGCTACACACATTATTGGTCTTGAGGGGTTTATCTGTCCTTGATTCCCTGTGTTTCCAGCTCTTACCTGTACCCGTGTACATGCTTTGGTCTAGGTGGATTTGAAAGGTAGAATTGATGGCATGATAGTGGGGGGAGGGAAGCATTATAGAACTAGAGTAGGGGTCCTCAAACTTTTTAAACAAGGGGCTAGTTCATTGTCCCTCAGACCCGTTGTAGGGCCGGACTATAGTTTAAAAAAAACTATGAACAAATTCCTATGCACACTGCACATATCTTATTTTGAAGGAAAAAAACAAACAACAAAAACACAGGCTGGCTGGATAAATGTCCTTGGTGGGTCTTATGTGGCCCACAGGCCGTAGTTTGAGGACACCTGAACTAGAGGAAGGCTGTATGTTTCATTAATGCTATACTGTACCCTGACATGCTCATCTCTTCCTGTGACACTTCTGTAAGGGAATGTCCAGTTGCCTAAAGATGGGCTTTGGGTCTCCACTCCGTGCTCCTCCTTATTCACATTGATATGATTTTTTGTTCTGAGTCTTTGATACCTGATACCTGATCCCATTGACATTTCATGATCACACAGGCTGGTGCGCTTCTTCCATGTGGACTTTGTTGCTTCTCAGCTAGATGGCCATTTGTTTATCTTCAACCTTTAAGACCCCAGACTCTGTATCTTTTGATAGCCGGGCAGCATCAGCTTTCTTCACCACGTTTGCTTATGTACCCATTTTGTCTTCAGCAATCATGAGCATCATAGAAATCCAGGTTATTAGAACAAAATGTTCTTGCATTGAGGGAGTACTTGAATAGAGGCCCAATGTCTGTCTGCTACCTTAAGACTTAACATATAAATAGATTTACATAGATCTATCTCCCTATTGTTATATATAAATATATTTGCATATGTACATGCCTATAGTTATACCTCTATAAGTGTCCTTTGCCTCCTCCTTCTTTCCTCTATTTTCTTTTAATTTCCTCTTGTGCCACTATCATGTTCGGCCTTCATTCAAATTTCAATAATTCCTGTAGGCTACATTGCCCTCAATCAAACCTCACCGGGCATCCTATGCCCTCCTCACCATTGATTTTAGATCATTTGTTGTTCCCTTGTCCCTGGGTTTGTTAAAACCCACTTCAAGGACCAACTTTCACATGCATATGAGGCAATTGAAAATACCATGGCTTGGTTCAGATGCACCTTAGTCCTCAAAGTAACCTTCTTGGTTTTCAACACTTTAAAGAGGTCTTGTGCAGCAGATTTACCTAATGCAATGTGTCCTTTGAACATCAATTGTGGATGTAAATATGATGAAATCCTTGACAACTTCTATCTTTTCTCTGTTTATCATGATGTTACTGATTGATCCAGTTGTGAGCATTTTGGTTTTCTGTACACTGAGTTATAATCCATATTGAAGGTTGTAATCCTCAATCTCCATCAGCAAGTGCTTCAAGTTCTCACTTTCATAACAAGGTTGTCTCATCTACATATCGAAGGCTTTTAATAGACCATCTTCTAATCCTGATACTGAATTCTTCTTCATAAAATCCAGTGTCTCCTGGTGAAGAAAGCTGATGGTGCCTGGCTATCAAAAGATATAACATTTGGAGTCTTAAAGGCTGGAAGATAAACAAGCGGCCAACTAGCTCAGAAGCAACAAAGCCCACATGGAAGAAGCACACCAGTATGTGTGACCACGAGCTGTCAAAGGGATCGGGTGTCAGGCATCAAGGAA